TAGCCCCAAAGGCAAATAACTTTCCTGTATATATGCTTTGATTTATCTCCATCAAAGAGGATGTAAATGTCTTGCCTCAGGCATATGAGTTAAAATCCTCGCACCTATAGATATCCTCAGTGTCCCCACTGAACAAAGAGAATCCTAGGAATCAATTAAAATACCCAGGGGTGGTTATGGCTAAATTTGCTCAATCCATCACAAATATAACTTTTCATCTATTTTCAATCAGTTGGGCAGTTATGTGTGTGTATATGTGTATACACACCCACCCCCACCCACCCCCACCCCACACTACCCTAAAAATGAAGCTGTTGTTTGCACTATGCTTAAACCAAAAGGTAAATGACTTACCTATCTCCATGGTTGCCTTCCTTCTCTCTCTCTCTCTCTCTCTCTCTCTCTCTCTATATATATATATATATATATGTGTATATGAAACCAGGGTGTAATCATCTTCTTAGGATGATACTAATTAATCTTGTATAAGACTCACATGTTTAGTCAAAGGAATCAAATATACTATCATAAAACTTAAATATGCAGTTCTTAATCTCATAAATTGAAAAGTAATGTATGAGAAAACTTGGCAAATTGCAAGTGCTGTACAAACTAAAACATACTATTGCTATTATCCAAATCTTAGGAATCCAGTATTAACTTGGTAATTATTTCTCAGGTCAACAGTATCTTCAAGTGTTGGATGTCCAGCTAATAAAAAAGGTATAATTTTGCCTTCAGTTGTTATGCCTGCCTTTCATTATTCCAAGACACAGGAGACCATTCATTTCTTAATATCCCAAATGTAGAAAACAAACCTATTTACTAAGACTGCCAGGATGAAATAGTTTCCAGAATTATATGAGCCACTCCCTGTAAACCAAGGAGAGTTTCCCTTTACCCAAGTTTATATTCCACTCATGCAGCATTTTCGTGTCTTGGACCAGTAACACCAGTTGAATTCCACTGACAGAATGTGAGAAGGGCATGAGCCCTAGGATAGGCACTCAGGCTGAGGAGAAGGGCTCTTAGTTCTGGCTCTGGGTTTTACTAGCAAGATGACCTCTACATTCCTTTCAAGTCACAGTTCTACAAATGATACTTTTTCTCCTTACCTGGTTCTTTTTATAGACTGTTTCCTCAGTCATCCAGAGTTCAGTGTGGGAATCACTTTGAGTCCTGCAAATCTTTTATTCTGTACATTCAATAAGTCACCAAACATTCCAATCCTTCCCAAGAACAACCTTCATATTATTTTTTTCCAATAGCTTGACCTTGGTTCTCTGTTGGCTTCTTGTGGTGTGACAGGCTTAAGCTAAATGCTGAAATAGAAAACTCCTCAAAACCTGCCCAAAACTGAGTTTCTAATTTGATTTGCTGCTTTCCTCCCACTGTAAACTTCTGCCCCAACTTTACATGTTGTTTCTGCATCTCATGTTTATGCTCTGTATTAGTTTTCTACTGTAGTAAGTTACCAAAAACTTAGTGCCATAAAATATGAATTTATTATCTTACAGTTCTAGAGGTCAGAGGTCTGATATGGGTCTCACTGGACCAAACCCAAGGTATCAGTGTGGCTGTATTTCTTCTGGAGACTGTACGGGACAATCAGTTTCCTTTTCCAACTTCTAAGGGCCTTGTACTTTCCTTGTTTCATGGCCCTCTTCTTCCATCTTCAAGGACAGAAAACCAAGCCAAATCCTTTTCATGCTGTCATCTCTCTGGTTCTTCCTTTTCCACTTTAAAAGACCCACGTAATTACACTGGGCTAACCTGGATAATCTAGGTTAAACTTCCTATTTAATATCAGCTGATTAGCAACTTTAATTGCATCTACAACCTTAATTTCTTTTTGCCATGTAACTTATTCATAGATTCTGGTGATTAGGATGTGGACATCTTTAGGGGAACATTATTCTGCCTTCCACATGCTCTATCCCATTCTTTGTCCCACAAATTGTCAGAAATCTTTAATTTCTTATGCCTTATTTCACAGTTAATCTTAATAACAACTAATGAATTGAATATTACTACCAAAACTTTATGAGTGTATTTTCATTAAGAATAACCTGCAAGATACCTTAAAGCAACTGAGGCTAATAGGAGAAGGGGACCAGGAACTAGAGGAAAGGTTAGTTCAAGAAGAATTAACCTAGAAGGTAACACGCATGCACACGAAATTTATGTGAGTCAACTCCCTGTATAGCTATCCTTATCTCAACTAGCAAAAACCCTTGGTCCTTCCTATTATTGTTTATACTCTCTCTTCAACAAAATTAGAGATAAGGGCAAAATAGTTTCTGCCGGGTATCGAGGGGGTGGGGGGGTAAGGGAGGGGGTGGGGGAAAGGGGGAGAAATGACCCAAATATTGTATGCACATATAAATAATAAAAAAAAAGAATAACCTGCAAATTATACATCCAGAGCCTGGATTTATATTATTAGAAATAAGCTCTACAATATTGAATGGCTTTATCTAAACTCAGTCTTTATGTTAGATCACATAGGTAAATACTTTGGGGAGCCTGATAAAAAACATTTTAACATCTAATTGACTTAGATGCACTATACTAATGACAACATATGCTTATCAATTATATTTCAGTTAAACATTGGAAGAAATGTTTCAAGTAAATATTTTAAAAGACTAGTGCCAGGGACTAATTTTAGGAAATATCTAAGACATTTCTCTGTTAACAAGTAATACAATTTTAGGAAATCCCTAGCAACTTAAAGTGTTCTAGTTGTTACCGCTTTCTTAGGCTTAAAGAAGGGAGGCAGGCACTCTCGGAGGTAGGTAAGTTATTTATGCTTTTGATCTAAATATATTGCAAGCAATAATTACATTTTTAGGGCATTACTTAAGGTGCTGAGGCCTGGGCTGTGACAGAAATCACTTCTATTGTTTTTTCCAATATATCATGCTCTTAACAGTAGGACAATAGAGACAATGGGAAAAGCAGCAGCCTCAAGTTCTTGCAGAGGCCTCCAGAGAGTAAACAATGCTTCTTGGTTCTTTACCTGTGTCCTGATTTATTGAAAAAGGTCAGGTGTACAGTGTTTACTAAAGCAGTCACAACATAGAATCTTTATGACACTTCCTTAGAAATCCTTCTTTGGTCACTCCTTAGATCAGGAAAGGTCTCAAAGTTATCTGCTATCATGCTGTCTTTCTCTTTCACAGCCCTTATCACAATCATTACAGACTTTTTTTTTGTAATTAATATGTGCCTTTTGTGTGACTGCCTTGCTTACCATTGCATTGGCATTCCTAACCTTTGCCATAGTGATGGCTTGGTTGGACACTTCAAATATGTGTTGAATTGAGAAGGCATTTCAAGTGGTGTGTGGAGGCTATGGTTTTGTTTCTTTGGTACAGTGTGGCACTTCAAGCACAAGGGACACCCTCAGCCCTCAGTAAGTGCTTTCTGAACGGATTGTCAGCTCCCTGATTATGAACCTTGTTTAATATGGTAGCTGAAGTCATAAGCGCTTCACACTTTTTTATCTTGGGAGGAAACAATGTGAACTCAGAGACGGTAGCATGAAAACAAATTCTTTGATATTTACTTCTAGAGAGCTTTTAAAATTGTGGAGCTAGAGCCATATCCACTTTGACACATCACTTTTATTTTAAAACAGTGGTTCTCAAAGTGTGGTCCCTAGGGCAACATCATCAGCATCAGGGGGCAACTTGTTAGAAACACAAATATTTAGGTCTCACCACAGATGAAGGACTCTGCGGACATTTTGGAGTGGGGGCTCAGCAATCTGTGTAAGTCCTGCAGGTGATGCACTATTTAACTGTTAGCAGTCTATCTGTGTTACACACACACACACACACACACACACACACACACACACACAGAGTATCCAGACTACAAAAGATGAATTCCAAGCCTTTCTGCCCTCCTCAATCTGTGTATTCCTCCCTGACTTATCTTGCTGTGAGAGAGCCAAGGACACTTGTATTTAGACTTTGAACAATAGTGCTCTTCATAAGGAACTTCGTCAGGGATTAGCATAAAATGAACATCTAAAAGGGCGTGTTTTCACCGAACACAAAATAAGCGATTAGAATAAACATGATAGTGACAACCTCAGGAGACAGACCACTAAAATGAAGGTCTTCAGTACTGCGAACTGCGTTTTTAGAAGGAAGAGGGAGAGGAAGCAACTCTGAAATCCTAGCTGTTACTCTTTCCTCCTGAATTTTCATTTCATTACATCATCTGTAACAGAACCCAGCCAAGCACCATTTCCCTCCAAATGAATCCTTAATTATACAAGTGCACTGGCAAAATATGGACGAGAGAGGAAACGGACAACAGAGTTACGTCGAGCGCTTAGGGGGTTCTTTTCGGACCCGCCCCTCCAGTGCTCACATTCCTTGATCAGAGTAGGTGACTAAACCGGCTCCCGGGAGCCCGTGCACTCTCCGCCTCGGCTGCAGAACCCAGGCTCAGAAAGGCCGCCCTCATGCGGCGTCGGCACGCGAGCACCGCTCAGGATGATCAGTCTCTTCCGCCCGGACTCTGGCCCGGACTCTGGCCCGGACCGGCCTCTTCCGCCCGGACTCTCACCCCTGCGTTCCGCCCTATCTCGCTTCACGCCAATAGTGAGGTCTGGACTGGGCTGAAGCCTCCAGCGTGAGACAAGGGCGTCCCAGCCAATGAAATGTCAGGAGTGAGCTTAAGTAACCAATGAGCTGCTGGGATGGTCTAGGCGTCTGACCAATCACGAGGCCTCGCACCCGGATATGGTTGCCGCGTTCAGAAACCTAGCTGGGAAAAAGTGTGAGGAGGGGTTTTCCACGTGGGGCTCGGACCTAGGGTTCCCTGGAGGGGGCGGGCGTGTTTGAAGTTCAGTGTCTCGCGCGTGCGTTTGGGTTTTTGATTAGGGGAACAAATTAGTGTGACTGTTTGTCTGTGGCTAGAATTCCCACTGCAGTGATCAGGAGGCTGCTTAGCGGTGTGCCTTTGAGATGGTACCTTACAGGGAATAGAGTCCTGCAGACGTAGCTTGGGCGGTGGGAACATGAATCTCTTACCTAAAAGCGCCAAGGACTTTGGCTCTGTTGACTATTGGGAGAAGTTCTTCCAGCAGCGAGGAAAGAAAGCCTTCGAGTGGTATGGAACTTACCTGGAACTGTGCGGGGTGCTGCACAAATACATCAAGCCCAGGGAAAAGGTAAGGAGCGCGGCTAGGCAGCCCTTGGTAACAGTAATTCTGCACGTGGTGGCCCTAGTTGGACCTGCCCTTTCAGAATTCCGTACATCGTTCTGGCTAAAGGACGGTTTAAAATAGTCTCTTGGAGGTTTTCAGTGAAAACACCTCCCGCCCCAGCTCCCCCACTTCTTAGTGCAATGACTTTTTTAGTAGACCAACACCAAAGTGTTCTTTCATTGTGCATCCCTGTAGAGTAGGCAGGCAGGATGGCTCACTTCATTCATGTACAGTTTATGTTAAGTAGTTGTTGATTGCTTACTGAGTTCCAGGCACTGTGTTCAGTCCTTAAGCTACAAGAGTACTGGGTGAATATGATCGAAGTACTTTCTGTGCATATGTGAAAGTAGAGAATAATGAAACCTGTTAAGATTATTTTTAAGAGGGGGCTGGAGAGATAAGAAAGAGTAATTGAGGGGATGAGTTTGATCAAAGTTCATTATATGCATGCATGAAAATATCACAGTGAAACCCCTTTGTACAGTTAATATATGCTGAAAAATAGCCAGACTACACAATCTGCAGAAGTGAGAAGTGTTAAGTACAGTAATGGGTTTGGTAGAGATGGAGTTGTATTGGAGGTAGGGAAGAAGCCTACCTACGCTAGGCCTAGGTTTTTAAATTTTATTTTATTTTTTTAAACAACACAACAAGAGGTTTTAACTATAATACTGTGTTTACATTCTGCGACTTTCTGTTAATCCCTGAGTAATATATGCTTGTTCAGAGAAAAGGAGAACCATAATCGGTTTGTTTCTGCATCACAAAGCTAATTCTCATATAACCTGTTTGTAGCAAAATGTGGTTTTCACTAGTGAGTTCCTGTAATCTGTAGTGTTCAAGATAAGAGTCTAGAGTCAACTGTAATGTTGCTCTCTTCCTGACAATAGCATCTTTGTCTTCTGAAATATGCAGTAGACGAGGTGAGATTTGCTTCTTGATGTATTTGGAGCACTTTCCTTGACCTTCATTACATTCATCTTCATGCTTTTCTTACTGCCCCCCCCACCCCCCTCAGGTCCTAGTGATTGGGTGCGGCAACTCAGAGCTGAGCGAGCAGCTATATGATGTGGGCTATCAGGATATAGTGAACATCGACATCAGTGAGGTCGTCATCAAGCAAATGAAGGAACGCAGTGCCAGCCGAAGGCCCCAGATGAGCTTCTTGAAGATGGACATGACGCAGATGGAGTTTCCTGACGCCTCATTCCAGGTGGTGTTGGATAAGGGCACCCTGGACGCTGTCCTGACGGATGAGGAGGAGAAGACCCTGCAGCAGGTGGACAGGATGCTGGCTGAGGTTGGCCGTGTCCTGCAGGTGGGCGGTCGCTACCTCTGCATCTCCCTGGCTCAGGCTCACATCCTGAAGAAAGCAGTGGGTCACTTCTCTCGGGAGGGGTGGATGGTGAGGGTGCACCAAGTGGCCCACAGCCAGGACCAGGTGTTGGAAGCAGAGCCTCAGTTCTCCCTGCCTGTTTTTGCCTTCATCATGACCAAGTTCAGGCCAGTCCCTGGCTCTGCCCTTCAGATCTTTGAGCTATGTACTCAGGAGCAGGGCAAGCCTGTGCGGCTGGAGACTGCCGAGCAGCTGGCTGAGGCAGTGCGGGAGCGGCAGCAGTATGCCTGGCTGTGCGGCCAGCTGCGCCGCATGGCCGGGCTGGGGAGTGTTTCTCTGGACTTGTGCAATGGGGACACGGGGGAGCCACGCTACACCCTCCACGTGGTGGACAGCCCCACTGTGAAACCATCGCGGGACAGTCATTTTGCCATTTTCATCAGTGAGTTGGGATTGCTCCCTCTCTTTCCTGGAGGGCTGGTTTATAGGGGCTGGGGCTGGGCTTGGGCTTTGGTGGATGAGTATGTCTTGGCTGTTTTTAACTTTAGAGGGTGCTATTTCCTGAGGGTTAGACTAGCTACAGCATGAGGAAAGGGGAGTCATAGCTTTCCTGCAGCCTGCTTAGATCAGAGACTTACTCCTTTTCATCTTCCATGGCAAAGGCTTGATGAAGTGGTAGAGGTGGCAGGGAGGAGAGTAGAGAAAAATTTAGGCAGGCCACACATCTCATAGAGATGTTAGTTACTGTAGTATGGGCTAGCTAGCCCAGACATGCATTCTAGCCAGCTGTAGCCTGTGAACTATGGGACCTGGGAAAACTGCTCTGTGTCTCTGCAGAATTTTGGGCAGCAGTACAAGGTAGCAGCTAAAGAAGTGAGCTGTGGACCCAGACAATTTATATCCTAGTCCTGGCTTAGTCAGGTCTTATGGTGTGACATTGAACAAGTTTCTTTTTTTCTGTGCCTGAGTTTCTTCATCTATAAAGTGGGACCATAACTCTCTTCTGTAGTTGTGAGAAGTGTAAAAAGCTCTTAGAAATGGTGCCTGGTGTGGTTGGGGGTCTGGCTCATGTGGTAGAGCCCTTGTGTAGCTTGCACAAGGCTCAGTACCACAAAAGAAAAGAAAATAATATAAAATAAGGCGGGGCATATGGGTCAAGCACACAGCCCTGAGTTGAAATCCCACTGCCACCACATTAAAAAAGAAATGGTGCTTGGGATGTTTGCATGTGATAAGTGCTTTATAAATGTTAGGTGTTACTATTGAAAAGAGTAAAGAATACCAGACTTACCTTACTAAGGATCAGGAGATAGTTTGGAGAGATGCTTTCAAATGTAGAAAATGCTAAGCAAAAGGTGTCATGGTCATGCTGGTAATTTGTTTCCTGACAATGGAGCCATTTTCCCAAATACTTCATGTTCTTACCTGCCACCTTTGGGAATGAATAGTGCAGTGGATAAGAGTGTGGAGTTGGGCTTGACTGCCTGGGTTTGAGTCCCAGCTTTGGCATTTACTAACTTTATGAATTTAGGCAAATAAGGTATCTTCTGTGCCTCAATTTCCTCTTTTGTAAAAATGAGAATAATGCTACCTGCAACTTCTTCTGTTGTGAGGATTCCATCACTATATATTTGTACACTGCTTGGAATCAAAAAGGCATTGGCATTACTTTCTATTTTTCTTATATTAGATGACTGTCTCCCTCGCCTTCAGACATGCCTTCGTCTTACCCACCCTTGATCCTGCTTCATGTCTGATGGGCTTCTTTGCTCTGGGTGTTGTGTGCTAGGGAATTGATAGCCTCTCAGTGGATCATAGTCAGGAATGAGCTGGCTCTCTGTCATGTGGATTATTGCTTGTGGGGTTTGAACACTTTTTCTAGGATTCCCTATAACTAAGTTCTTCTTTTGTAGTTCCCCAGGGCCGGGAAACTGAGTGGCTCTTTGGCATGGAGGAGGGCCGGAAGCAGCTAGCAGCTAGTGCAGGCTTCAGGAGGTTGATCACAGTGGCCCTTCATCGAGGTCAGCAGTACGATGGTATGGACAGCATTCAGGCTGAGCTGTCGGCCAGAGTCATGGAGTTGGCTCCCGCTGGGATGCCTCCCCAGCAGAAGGTACTGAACCCTTGGCAGTAACTTTCATTGGTCTTTGAAGTTATATTAGTAGCCAGGAAGCAGAGGGAGCTTTGGAAGGAGCTAGGATTAGAGTCTGTGACCATAGTCTCATCTTCAGAGGGCCCCAAGCAAATACAGGAATGTAAATAGTTGTTCTCATTAGGAACCACAGTAGTAGGCTGGAGGCATGGCTCAAGTGGTAGAGAGCCTGCCTAGTAAGTGAGAAGCCCTGAGTTGCAAACCCCAGGAGCACCAAAAAAAAAAAAAAAAAGAACCACAGTAGCATATGTATCTGGGAGTCTCTCAGACTTCACTGAGGTGGCATGAAGGAAATGCTGTACGCCTTGTAGGCCCTAGCTCTTCAAATTGCTGATTGCTCAGACTGAATTTCTCCTTTACCAGTTTTGAAAAGAACTTCCTTGCTTGTTTTGTTTCTCTGAACTGTCATTATCTGAGGATATAAAAGGAAAAGGACCAAAACAGCTCAGCACAATTGTCAGGATATTAGCATAGAAGACTTTGCTGGGAAGGAAACAGGGTTTTGCCTAAATGCAAATGATATATTATCAGTTGACATCTTCTATCTTATACCATCCTGGTCACCATGACTAATTGACAGATGACTTTATTGTAAGAACTTTATCCTGCTTGATATGTCTCAGTGCATCTAGAGACTGGGTCTAAAAAAATTACCTAGGCCCTGGGTTCTCAGCTGGTGGTCCTGCTCACTGAGGTAACTTGTGTTGGTAGAGAGTATGTGTTTGATTCTTCCTGGTAGACTCTGGGGTTGATACCCATCAGAGAGATTTCAGAGAGATTCAGAACCTGTGGGAGCTTCATTTGTAACCTTCTCTTACCAGTGCTGAAGTCTTCAAGGTCAGGAATTACTGGTGATTAAGAAATACTCTCATGAGTCTTTAAAAAGAGATAGATTAGCTAGGCATGGTGGTGCACAACTGTAATCCCAGCACCTGGGAGGTGGAGGCAAGAGATTCATTCGTTTGAGGCCAGCCAGTGATACATAGTGAGACCTTGTTTTATAAAACAAATAAGCCAAGTGCTGATGGCTCAAGCCTGTAATCCTGGCTACTTGAAAGAATACTGGGAGGATTATGTTTTGAAAACAGCCCAGGCAAATAGTTTGTGAGACCCTGTCTGAACCATTAGCTGGGTGCAGTGTTGCTCACCTATCATCCTAAGATACACCTGTCATCCCAAGGTATATGGGAGGCTGTGATCAGGATGATCATGGTTCTAGGCCAGCCTGCTGAAAAAGTGTATGAGACCCTATCTTGACAGTAAAAAACTAGGTGTGGTAGTGATATGCCTGTCATTCCAGGTACTGCAGGAAAAATAAATTAGTAGGATCACAGTCCCCAGGCCTGCCTGGGGGAAAAATTGAGAACCTGTCTAACTAACTGGAGCAGAAAGGGCTAGAGACATGGCTTAAGTGGTATAGCAAGCCTGAGGCTCTGAGTTCAAACTCCAGTACTGCAGGAAAAAAAAAAAATGTAAAGATGGTAGAGGAGAGGAAGTTTGGCGGGGAGGGGATGTAATTTTCTCCAAAGGTTTAGAAAAATGGGAAGAAAGAAGATGAGAATAACTCGGGAGAATTTTCTCCACATTTAGAGTGGTTGTTTCCTCATTTTTCTTGGGAAGAAAATCTTACTAGTAGTTTGGGAGATCTTTATGTGTTCAGTTGATTTTCAGAAGGTGAATTAAACCTTTTGAAATCTATACCAAGGCCCCAGAAAAGCACTTTAATAGAATGGCAAATCTTTGGAGTTGTTGCTGTCTAGAATCTTGGTATGTGGAATCTTTATATTCATACAAACAGAGGGATTACTTCTCATGTTTCCTAATAGGGCTGGTGTTTTTAACTATGTCTCTGATTGTACCTTCAGGTGCCCTTTCTGTCTGTGGGTGGAGACATCGGGGTCCGGACTGTTCAGCATCAAGACTGCAGCCCCTTGAGTGGTGACTACGTCATTGAGGATGTGCAAGGGGATGACAGGCGATACTTCCGGCGACTGATCTTCCTCAGCAACAGGAATGTGGTGCAGTCTGAAGCCAGGTTGCTGAAGGATGTGTCTCACAGAGGTGAGGCATCATAGGCCTGACAATGGGACCCAGGTGGGCATGACATGGGCTCTTGATTTGGGGTAGTCAGAAAGACCTGGGAGCTTGACTAAGATGTAGAACAGACCTGGGTACGGTGACCCAAGCCACATGGCTCTGTGAACTATCTTTTCTGACCACTTGATCTTTTTGGGGTGCCAGTGATGATAAGCAGAATAGAGGTATTTGTTCTTGTCTTGAGCAAAGCCTGGCTCTGAAATGATAAGGAGCAGGGGTGGTGAAATCAAATAAATGTGATAATCACTTTAATGCCCTCAGTTTAATGGACATCTGTTTATAAATTGTTGCATATGTCTCTAAATGCCTCTGTGAAGTGAGCCAGAAACATGGACTTGCAGATGAGCCCTGCCCTTCTCTGTAGTATGAGTCACTGTCACCTGCTTGAGTGTTGGAGGGTGCTTAGAAGCCAGCAAGTCCAGAGTCGTTCAGTAGAACCATGTGTGATGAAGGAGATCTTTAATAGCTGAGCTGCCAGCATGGTGGCCCCTAACCATAAGTGGTTGCTGAGCACATGGGATGTGGCTGGTGTAACTAAGGAACTGAATCTTATAATTTACATTTGAATTCAAATGGCTTTAGAAGACTGGTGGCTATGGCATTGGACAGTGTAGATCCAATAGTGTAGATCTCCTAGGATCCCTCCTAAGTGGTCTCCTAGATACCACATAGAAACTCTCACTGATGGGGGAAGTCAGAAGTTTGTTTTATCTGGTTCCCCCCCACCCCCGGGGGTATTATTGGGATCAATTTAAAATATTGAGTGAAGAAATAAATATCCTTGTCTTCTCCCAGTACAACCTCCCTTTGAGTCATAGGGATTCAGGAAAAGTATCTGAAATTGGGTCTTCTGAGTCTCAGTTGTTCCTTTTGCTCAATCTTGTTATCCTCATAGAAGGGCCATCTGAAGGAAGATGTAGAGAGAATTCACACCCTTGAAGTCATGGATTTGCCCTGATCAAGTACACTCATGATGGAGTACACGCGTTTGATTTTTTTTCTTTAGGGATTTCCCCTGGCTTAGTGCACCCATGTTTTTTTGCCTCCTTGTGCTATCATTCTGGCTGTAGGTCTGTTCAGTTTCATCTCAACTTCAGTAAAATTGTGTAAAAGATCTTTCTGCACTCTCTAATGTGAGTTTCATGTTTTTTTCATCATTGTTAAGTTTCTTGACTTTTAGGTGTCATTTTCTCCTCATAGGAGGAAGTATGGGTAAGTAAGAAGGAGAGCATATTCAAAAGAGATTTAACATCTCTAAAAAGCACCCCACATCTACACATAGGTATCTGTGCAGGTGGTCCTTATGAAAACATAGAACCATCTGTTTAGTATGATATGTGAAGGAGCAGATGAGAGAGGGAAAGTAGAGGGGCCTTTTATAGGGTTTTTCCCTTTCTGTGGTTTCCTTGTTCCACAGGACGATACTGAATGGTGACATAGTACTGAATTGGTGACACAGTAGAAAGGTGATCGATGAGGGAGTCAGGCAGTCCTACATTCATTTCTTGTCTGTCTGCACCACCTGCTGATTCCGTGCCTATTTACTTAATACTTCAGATGCTCAGTTTTCTCATGTTGCCAAGAACTGGGAGGATACCATTGTTGGAAGAACTAAAAGAGCAAAAGTCGTGGTATAGTGATTGGGACAGAGGAGGTGATTAATAACTCTGTGTCTTTTCTAAAACAACTTATGAGTAAGCTTTTCTCCTGTTAGAGGCCTTACATTTCTCAGAGGTTAGGTACTAGGGTCCCTTAGTTGAGTTACCCCCAATTTTTTGTTTTGTTTTTGTTTTGTACCCCAAATTTTTGAGTGTGCTTTAGCCATTCCTCTTATGGTGTACATTCTTTTTTTGGGGGGTGGGGGGACTTGGGGAGACCTTGATTTGTAGAGTTTATCAGTTTCTGAGATCTAAATCCTGCCTCCATGGCCAGTTTCAGGCTGTCCATATGATGTCTGCCATTTTGCACAATTACTGCGTACTGAACACTTGGCTTTGAAGTCTGTTCAAGCCCGTCGTAGCCCACTACTGCTGGTATCCCTTACCTTACAAGGACTCGTGTAAGAAGTTAGGATTTCATCAGTGTGAATCTCTCATTTAGCCCAGAAGAAACGGAAAAAAGACAAGAAGAAGCAGCGATCTGCTGATACTTCGGAGGACCTTCCTTCCGCCCCAGGGCAGTCCATTGATAAGAGTTACCTGTGCTGTGAACACCATAAAGCCATGATTGCTGGCCTTTCCCTGCTGAGAAACCCTGAGCTGCTCCTAGGTGAGACACCACTGCCTCATACTGTCGAGAGCACGTAAGGTTACAGAAGTAAATGAGCTGCCTTGTGACTCAGGCAGTGATTTACAAACTGACAAATGTACATTGTTTACATCTTTCATTCCAGCTGTCCTCTCACTTAATGAGCATCCAGGTGACTTTTACATCAATTTGTAATCTTGAAATGGCTACATGTATTTGTGCATAAATTTTGTTTCTTTTTCTGTTTGTTTCTTTTTAAAATTAAAGTATTTAATATATTCAAAAAGGTAGAGGAAGTATGCAGATTTAAGTTACTCAGTTTGACAAGTTTTTACATATGTATATATCCATGTAACTGGATGATATATTTAAAAAATCATGTCTCTAGTGCCTTTGGATAATGTGTGGCTTTTCAGTAGTGCATTACTTGAGCACAAGATACAATTCTACCTTGAAGTTTTGCTAAAAAAAAAAAAAGAAAAAATCCTTGGTATAGTTAGTGCATTGGTAACCTCGTTGCTAATTACTGGTTTGCATCTGACTGTATTAGCAAGTATATTCTTGTTTCCACACTGACAAATGTATTCATGAGAAGTCCCTTAGTGTGTTTTGAATTATTGTATGTCCTCAGTTCTTAGTTTTAATCCCAGGATCTAGCTTCTTTTAGTGATTCTTTTGTTTCTTGTCTTCCTTCCATGCCCCTGTGGGTGCTGTGGTTTCTCTTGTATTTAGGGCTAGGACATGGGAATTTGTTTTCATGTGATTTATGGAGCTTGGATGGATTATCCTCATTTGGTCAGGGTGTCTGAGAAGGCACCTAATAGCTTTTTGAATCAAGAGCCAGGCAAGGAGCATTGCACCTACAAAGCCTTGTGATCATGAATTAGACTGCTTGGCATTGGCCCTCCATTTGCTGGGGTGAGGGAATATGTTCATTACTTTTATGGGAATCTTGGTACCATTTCAGCTGAGAACTTTGGGATTTAAGGGACCATAATAATAACATACTGGTTCATCTTCTGGCGCTAGTCAGTGTGAAGCAAATGTTGAATTTTCAAATGTCATTTGATTCCTAAATTTCTGGGATGAGTGAGGGAGGCCAGTTCTTTAAATATTGTATTCCTGGGCTGACCTCCTCCTTTGTCCTCCCTGAGGCTGGTACAGAACCTTCCAGATTACTGAGCAGATGGCATAGTGACGCTCTCTTCTTTTATTACAGAGACTCCATTGGCATTGTTGGTGGTGGGCCTGGGTGGGGGCAGCCTCCCCCTCTTTGTCCATGATCATTTCCCAAAGTCCCACATCGATGCTGTGGAGATCGACCCCTCCATGTTGAAAGTGGCCACCCAGTGGTTTGGCTTCGCCCAGAGTGATCGGATGAGGGTCCACATTGCAGACGGTCTGGACTACATTACCAGCCTGGCGGGCAGAGAAGAAGGTACTGTTGTGGGAGCATTTGGAATGTGTTAAAGAAGACTGACCCAAGGTTGTCAGGCCGTCAGGGCTCTGGAATTCATCTGTACAAGGATGGCATCAGCATTCCAGTCTTTTGCCTCTGTGTTCATTTATTCAGCAAATAGAGTACTAACTATATCCTTAGCACTGTGCTAACAGCTAGAAAAACAGATTATTTCTGGTTTTAGGACACTACAGATCAGTAGGTCTCCCTTTTCACTTTTAACTTTGCCACTTTTTTTTAAAATCATTCCAAGGAAGCTGAAGTCTATAGCTGAGTGAACAAAATGGAAAGAAAAGATAGGGTGTATGTTGGGAGGTGTTTTTTTTATTTTTTTAATCAGTCAGCTGGAGGTGAAGTCAGAAAAAAAGTTTATGTAGATCAGTGGTTCACAACCTCAGGGGACATTTGGCAATGTCTGCAGGTATAATTTTGGTTGTCACTAAGTGGGCAGGATAGCTTGGTGCTATTGGCATTTAATGAGGCAAGGATGATGAAAAACATGCTACAATGTACCAGACAGCCACTGATGACAAAAAACTGGCCCAAAATGTCACCAGTGCTGAGATTGAGAAACCCTGATGCAGATGTTACTTGGTGGAAATTTTGATAGCCTTCCTGCTACTGCAATTAGGTTCCGTTTTGCTCCAATGATTTGTACCCTAGACTAAGGACAAAAGGCATATTAATTTTCTGCAAAATATTCCTGCTCTTTTTGCAACTCTCCTGGTGACTCTCCAGAGTTTGAGTCCTTCAGGATAAAGTTTGGTTGGTTTGGTTCTGAAGGGGAGCTCAAGCCACCTTCCCTGGTCTGCTCATTCAATAAAGAGGTACTCTGGTTCTCTCTGAGTTGGATTATCTTCTGGGAAGGGTGTGGCAAACCAGGAAGCCTGGAGGGAGGATTTTGGGGCTGGATGGACAGATCACAGCCTTGATTTTTTGAATTGTAAATTGAACTTAACCATATCAGTTTGACATGTTCCTCATTAAGGTCAGTTTGGGGGTTCAGGACCAACATAATTCATACATGTGAAGCATTTACCACAGTGCTAGACACATGGTAGGTACTCAATCCACAATGGTTCTGCTGCTGTCGTTATCTGTTGGTCCGTTTTGAATGGTACTGGCCATCTGCTCCCAACTACCCCAATTTCAAATTATTAGAGAGCTCAAGGCTGCAGACATGAGCCATGCTTTTCCTTGGATTGATGAGTGTTTTCTTGCTAAGAAACCAAAATCAGGGATAGTGCAAAAAAAGCAAAGAAACAAAAATCAGATGTGTGCTAGGAACAGTGATAGGTGTTTAGTAGTCCTAAGTAAATACTAATTACTGGTTCATCAGCACAGTCTTACAGTTTGGTAGAAACATGTTCGTGGCATTGCAGGCTAACCCCTTATAAAAATTACTTAACACCGTAGGAAGGAGCATGATCCAGTTTGTCTTTAGTTCTTTCTCACTCGTTTAGCAAAATTGTTTCTTTCTTGAGCTAGCTTTTGCTCAAGTAACTAGAAAAGATGAAACTAACTCAAATTTCAGAACATTTTCTCCTTTGACAGAACTTGTGCTGTTTTCAGAGTTTAATTAAAGTGACTATTTTCTGGGTCAGCTCTTAAATGCCTAGTGAGCTGCTTTGTCTAGATACTAGTTCTCAGTTCTTACTGTAATTGCAAAATTACCCAGGGAGTTAGACAAAAATACCAAAGATTTCCAGCCTTCCCAGGATTTTTTATTTGGTCAGGAATGTAGCCCCCATTCTCCTAAGTATTTAGAATCTTCCAAAAGTGATTGTGATGTCCTGCCAGGTTAAAAATCACTTGTATAGCACGTAACATTCCTGGTAGAATGGGCTCTATTAATACGTGTGCCTTTGGAGGGCATATTTAGATGTGGGAAAGGCCTCATCTTTACTGTAGGACAGCTTAGGCTTTGATAACAAGGATTTCCCTAGACTGTGACGTCAGTGTCGTTAACAGGAAAAATACATCCTCCATGTCAGTTTTCTGACTTAACTACCTTGCCTACTACTGGTCTTAGAGCAGATGTGGGTAGGAGTGTAAATGGTGCTATTTTATCCAACAGAGACAAGTACTCATTTGTTTCTCTTTCTTAGCACGACCTTACTATGACATCATAATGTTTGATGTAGACAGTAAGGACCCATCACTGGGAATGAGTTGTCCACCCCCAGCGTTTGTTGAACAACCTTTCCTTCAGAAAGTCAAAAGCATCCTGACTCATAAAGGTATGGTGAACTAAAGGTTGGAAAAGGAAGAGGCCATTTAAAACAAAAAATGTTGTCTTTTATAAGAAATATGTATAATTGTATAGTTTGGTGAGTTTCTCCAAATTGAACACACCCATTTGCCAGCACCAAACAGCAACATTTTCAGAATCCCAGAAGTGTACGTCTTACCCTCTCTCAATAACTCATCTTCCTCCCAAGCCTAACCCATTCAACTAATTCTGTCATCACCACAGCTTAGTTTTGCCTGATTTTGTTCTTTTTTTATTTTATTTTTTTGCTGTACTGAGGTTTGAACTCAGGTCTTATACCTTGAGCCACTCCATCCTTTCTTTTTCAAGATAGTGTCTCACTAACTATTTACCTGCGATTGGCTTGAAATCATGATCCTCCTGATCTAGCTAGGATCACTGGTGTAAGCCACCAGCACCCGGCCTGATTTTGTTCTTTATATAGATGGAATCTATGTAATATATTCTTTAAGTGTCTTGTTTTCTTTCATTCAGATGATGTTTGTGAGATTTAACTAGTGTTGTGTTTATATTCCTTTTTATTGTTGGTATCATGTAACTGTACAATTCACTTATCTATCACCACTGTGGTGTTTGGGTTGTTTCCTGTTTGGGGACATTGAAGTCATGCTGCCATTAACAATTTAGTATATGCCGTTTGGTGAAATAATGTTTACAGGTCTCTTTGGTATACACAGGGTTGTAACTGCTGGACTATGGGTTATGCAGATGTTCGTTCAGCTTTTGTAGATCCTGCTACACTGTTTTATTAAGTGGTTGTAGCAGTTCACACTCCAGGAGCTGCCACTTAAATGCTTTCCATATGCCTGGAATCAGCAATGTGTTACTTAATCTTCATAGCAGCCCATTTTCACATGCAGAAACTGAGGTTGAAAGATTTGCAAGGTGCCACTTGGTAACAGTTGGAGCTCCAGCCCAGGTCCTTGTAACTTGAAAGCTGTCGTTCTTAATCCCCATGTCCACAGCTTCCTAGGTGTTTTACTTTAGTGTAAAGTCTTGTAGTGTGCTGCGTTAAACTTTAATTGCTAGAAGTCAAGGTAACCTAGGCCTTCTCATTCATGAATAAACATCCCATGATGCATATAACAAGATTGTAACATTCCTGTGGAATTGGTAAGTTTTTCTTTCTTGAGGATATTACTTCATTCTTTTTTTTTTTTTGTAGTGAAAATGATAATAAAGCTTATTAGGAAAGGAATTTAGTATAACAGGATAAAAATGGGGAGAAATTGAGAAAAAAGGGTGAAACATTTCCTGTTCCCTATGCAGGAAATGGGAGTAAAGACTCCTATTAATTACCTCTTTATTAAAAGAATTCTTTGGGAAACTGAGGCATGGGGTAAAGTAATGTGTTAGCCACACAGAACAAGGAATAAGGCTGATGTTTTCTTCTGATGTGTACATTCTCTGTGCTTTTCTCTGTTTTTGTGTGCTATGTTTTCCTGCATGCTCCCTGATGTCATGACTATGTTTTCTTAGTCAATCAGTTGGTATTCTCAAAGCTGATTATTGTCTTCATTGTGGCTCCAGATTTGTGGTCATTCTTATTCTTTCCTTCCCATCTTACAGGTGTCTTTATCCTTAATCTTGTGTGCCGAGACTTGGGGCTAAAAGATTCAGTGCTGGCTGGTCTCAAGGCAGTGTTCCCTCTCCTGTATGTCCGGCGAATTGAGGGAGAAGTGAATGAGATCCTGTTCTGTCAGCTGTACCCAGAGCAGAAACTTGCCACACCAGAGCTCCTGGAAATTGCCCAGGCCTTGGAACGGACCCTGAGGAAGCCTGGGCAGGGATGGGATGACACATATGTTCTGTCAGATATGCTCAAGACTGTGAAGATTGTGTGATCACTGACTCCGGCAGCCCTCTCAGCTTCCTTCCCAGACTGCCCTGAGACTCCTGGCCTGCCAGAGATTGAAGAAATGTGATGCACAATACTTAAAGACCTCATATTTTTCTTGGTTTCATACTCAGCTACATGCAGCCTCCAGCTTGCTGGGGTTGCCTGAAGATCTGGGAAAATAAAAGTCCTTCCCATCCTGACCTCTGTTTTGCTTTTTTGAGACAGGGCCCCACCATATTGCCCAAGCTGGCCTTGAACTCATGAGCCTCCTGCTCCCAGCCTCCCAAGTGCTGGGATTACATGTGTGTGCCACTACACCTAGCCTCCATCCTGTCTTCTTTGATATTTCTTGGGTTGATCATCTTTGTTTTCCATACCATGTCTTTGAGTAAGATGCCTTGCTGGGATTCCTAGCAGACATTGTATCCCTTAAGGAACACCTGGAAAGTCCCTCAGGACTGGAGACAAATTTGATTGCATCTCTACTTTATTGATTTGTATTTGCTTTATCCCTCTCTTGGTTCTGGAAGAATGATCTCAAGTGGGATTGCAAGCACTCTTGTGCCAAGATCCTTATTAGTAGGATCTCTATAGATGTGAGACAGATTTGAGAGAGCATCTTCTCTGTCTCGCTACAGATGGAGCTGTCACCAGAAATGTCCCAATTTTTAGGCACTTGTAAGTTGCTCTTGCTGTTTAACAGCTTTCCTTAACTATCCAGACCTTACAGCCCGAGTTGTTTTATTCTCAGTGGAGGGGGTATATAGCTGGTCTTGTGACTGTGTGTCAGAGACCTGACAGACTGGTCTCACAACACTTAATGACAGCTAGAGAGCTGTAGTGGAAGTAAAGATGCTTAAAAATAGACAAAAAACATGAATTAACAATAAAAGCATGTTCAGGCACTCTTCTCAGTGGTTTACATACTCTGTCTCATTTAACCTGAAATAAAAAATAGGTAAACAAAAACCCAAATCTCATTTGAGCCAGAAGCATCCATCTTTATTGAGACTGTTAAACCAGTGATTCCAGTATTGGCTTGAATTTTATCTTCTAATTATTTCAGCTCTCACATAATGGGCGGTGCCATGAAAAATAGACATTGTCACCAACCACCCCCTTGGCTTACCTTTCCACAGTTAGTTTAAAATGGACTCTAATCTCGTGAGGTAATGACTACATCAATGTTAAGTTGTCATCCTCAATGTAGTGTTGATTGAAGGATGTTTAGATCTTATGTTAGAAATATTTGTTGCTCTTTTCTCTGAAACTGCTTAGGGGAAGGTTATCCCTGTTGCCACTTTCTTGTATTTCAGAAGGCTTCTGTTTGGCAAATCCTTGATTGCTTTCTAATCTGTAAGGTTTTGTAGTGTTTTGATAGGTTATACAGGTCCAGGGTGTGAGTTAGGAGAATCTAGTCTGCCTTTTCTTGGTCATATATACCCTCTGGTGGTATGTGGAGTTTAGAGCAGCACAAAGGTGGCACTGCTAAGCTAGGGGATTATCAGAATGAGAAGTTGTGGCACATCTTAAGAGGAGTGGTCCAAGGAGTTAGTAGTGTTTAATGTTGTGTATACATGTTTACTTTGGGGTAGGAAGAAGCACTCAAATGTGTTGATTATTGTCTTAAAAATGTTGAAAGCCTTAGAGAAGAAGAGTGAGGTTGGGTAGCTGTGTCTCTGAGGGCTGAAGAAAGACTGAAGGACGGAAGTTACATTTGGGTAGTGCTATAGGGTAGACTTTGAATGTCCTCCAAAGGTTATGTGTTGAAGGCTGGCTCCCTAGCCTGTGATGGTATTGGGAGGTAGTGGAACATTTAAAAGGTGGGACCTAGTAGAAGAAAGTTAGAGGTCACTGGTGTGCCCTTGGAGGAGATATTGGGACCTGGGCTCTTTCCTCTCCCTTTACTTCCCAACTGCCATGAGGTAAGCAACTTGCTTCACCGTGTTTTTCTACTAAGCTGTCTTACCACAGGCCTAAAAGTTGTGGGTCCCTCCAATCACGGACTGAAACCTCCAAAACTGTAGATCAAAAATAAGCCTTTTCTCCTTACAAGTTGATTTATTTCAAGTATTATTGTAACAGAAAGCTAACTTAACATAGGCAATTTTCAACTTAATTTCCTACAAGAAGAAAATTTGTATCAATGGCGCATGTTCTCCAGCTGCAGGACATTTACCCCCTTGTCTGACTTCCTTTTACGGAAAGGATTTTATGCGCACAAAGAGCCATTGGCCTGACTCCATCTTTCCCATTGAAGAGCTATTCACTTTTGCACTAACGACAGGCAAGTGTGTCTTTATGAGAATTTTACATAACTTTAGGCATGTGTACCTGGAGGAGGAGGGTTGTAAAGCTTAATTCCTACCAGGCCAGTGACAAATGTGTGAAGTGAGCCAGGTGTAAAAAGACTGGGGTGAGAAACCAGAGAATAAGTGAGCCATCAAACGGCAGCAGCTGCTCTTCCAGCTTAGTGTTGTCCTGGTGTGGATAACCTTGGTCTTTACGATGAGCCAGAAATTCCAAGTGTGTGAGGGACTAAAATGTTGGCCAATCAAAACACGTTTTCAAGCCACACTCAAGAGGACATTCTGGAACTACAGAATGTTAAGAATCTAGCATACCCAGACCCCAAGTGAGCATAAAAAAAGGAGCAAGCTGATAGCTACAAGTCATAACAGTGGGAGTCTTGTGTTAGGATGTCCATTTCTGTAACAGTTACAGCTGAGTGAGGATGGTCCCACATTCTTGGGAGAGTGTATAGTTTAACTTCTCAGGACTATTAGGGAACACAATGAGAATAAATCCTGCCGATTTAGTCCCCACCACACAAGTTCTGCAACAGTGTAAAATGGGTAAGGCTGACTTGCCTCTTCTCTGCCTCCTTGTTTCACCCCCACATCAAGTTTTCAGTGTGCCTCCAGTCTTCTGACAAACTTTAGTTTGTCTTCTACGTGTAGAGCAGTAGTTCTTATGTTTGCTACATGTTGGAGTTGCTTGATGTGGTAAACAGAATAATGTTCCTCTAAAGATATCCATGCACTAATCCCAGCAACCTGTGAAAATGTTACATTCAACTCCAAGGGAAATTTAATGTAGCACATCAATTTTATTTTTTTGGTGGGAGTGGGGTTTGAACTCAAGCTTCCCACTTGCAAAGCAGGTGCTCTACCACTTGAACCACATCTCCACCAGCTGACTTTAAGATAGGGAGATTATTGGGGATGAACCCAACATAATCACGAGGGTTTTTAATGGTGGAAGAAGGAGGCAGAAGTGCCAGTGTCAGACTGAAGCAATGCGAGTAAGAAGCCACTGGTCCTTGCTGGCTTTGGAGATGGAAGGAGGCTGCTAGCCAAGGAATCTGGTCAACCTATAGAATGGAGAAGGTAAGAAGATTGATTAGGTGTTTGTAGGGAAAAGGCTTTCCCATAAGCCTCCAGTAGGGAATGCAACTCTGCCAACAACTTGATTTTAGTCCATGAGACCGATTTTGGACTAATGAACTACAGAATTATAAGATAATAAAGTTTTGTTTTTTAAGTTTGTCAAAGTTTGTAGTAACTTGTTATAGCAGCCCTAGGAAACTAATCTACATGGGAACCCTGAAAGCCATAGGCTGGGTCTCACCCCAGAGAGGATGATTAAATTGGTCTGGGGTGCAGCCTGTACGTCAGAATCAAGTTTTCCAGGTGATGCCTTTGTGTGGCCAAAGTGGAGGTTCTGTGAATGGCTGTGTTCTCAGGGAATGAGGAAGGAGTTGCTATTCCTATCTGTGACACCAGTTTAGCACTCAGGTACAAGTGGCAGCCATCACTTGATAATTAGAAGCTTCTCCCTTCCTGTCTGCAAGCTAGCCTACACTTCAGTTCTTTGTCCTTGGAGTGGATATCCTTTGAGTAGCCTGAGGAGGTCAGCTTGCTGCAGAGGGTGATTTCCTCTAGGAATCTATCAGCCCCACTCTCCACTATACTGTTAGACTTGAGTGTACATCCTGATATCTGCTTAGTAAAGCTCAAAAACTAGTATTAAGTAGTCCCGTTTCCCTCTCGTGGCTTGTCTTGCCATGTAGTCCCAACAAATTTGTTAACAGCTAAAGGTTGTTGATAACTAGGATTGCTAAATTGGATTTTCCTTTTTTATATCCACTAAGCATTTTTTGGAGAGGCTATCTGTGCTTATGTTGAGAATTAAAAAAAGACACAGCTCCAGTTTACCTACTAGTTCGGGAGACCAAAGGGCAAATTGATGAATTATAGCACATGGATGAGTTCCAGAACCACGTGTGCACAAAGTGTGAGGGAAGCATAGAACATGGACAGATATTTCTCCTTTTAAAAAAAATTTTTTTTTAAGATCCTCATTGCAACAGGCAGGAAACGATCCAAACTCAATAAAAATTGCCCTCTTAAAGTGACTGAAGACTGGATTCAATTTTGTTTTTCTAGTTCAGGTCTTAGCTGATTCCTTTCTTCCCAGTAGATGGCACTAAAGATCACATTTAAGTTCTGTTGGTATCTATAAAATTTCCTGTGGGAGAGTGAAACTTTTAGGTGCTGCTTCACCTGAACTGTATTTCCTGATTCATTCTGGGCTGTATGAAGACACACTCCTACTTTGCCTGTTTTCCTCTCGCTTCATTAATAACCTACTCTCCCTGCTCTTTCACCTTCACCCTTTTCTCCTTCCAGTGCATATGGAGAGAGCACAGTTTTCTATCAGTCTCTAATGGTGCACGCCTGCACGGAGGCAGCCATCTCCTTGCTCTAGATCCCTGATTTTAGAAAATAGAGCAATGAGATAATAATGTTAATAATACATTAAAAATTTAAAGTTAAAATATGTAAGAAAGACAAATGTAGCATTATGCATCTGGGCCCAAGCTGACACATCTGCAAGTTTTCTGCCAAGGTGTAAGTATCCTTTTAAAAATTGAGACGCAATACTTATACATCTTTATGTGGTATGCTATGGTAATGATATGTGTACACAATATGTAAAAATCAAATCAAGGTAATAGGTACTTCCATCTCTTCAAATACTAATAATTTTTATGTGCTGAGAATTTCATACTCTGTCATTTTGAAATAGTTTTAGCCAATATAGTAACCCTACTGTGCTATAGAAAACCAGAACTAATTTCTCCTCTGTGTTTTGGGGCTCCTTCTTTCCTTCTTCTTTCTACCCT